TATTTTCTCCCCAGCTCTGGGTGTACACATATTTTCTAACTCTGGCACCAGAGCCTGTAAAGGAGCTTCCATTTGCAGTTCCCTATTCACAAAGATATGATGGCTAGCTCCGGCGTAGGACCCGCAAGCCCTTCACATTCTTCAGGCAATACTTTGACATAGTAGTTGCCCTTGAGGTAACCCAAAACATGGTCATTACTGCTTTAACACTGTTCTGGTTCACATTTAGCAACTGACAACAACTAATCATCTGTGCAACCTCTATTTGCCAATTATGTGGCAGCTGTAGACACCCCATTTTTGACTGTTCTCAAGACTTGGACGTCATCGTTTGAACACTCGATGATCATCCTTGTTCGTGTTCGTCTTGAGTTCTCGGAGGTTTCGGTCGCGCACCTTGCCTCAAGACCTCTCGACTTGTTTGTTTTGTGCTTGGTTGTATACCAAACACTTGTGTTTTTCGCTTCTAAGGGCAGGGAACGATTTTTTGGCCATCCCGACACCTCACTGGCCTTGGCTTGAGGCCACCGACCTAGTTTTCTTGCTACCGGCCAAATATTTTGGTCGGTCGGCATTTCTTTTGGTCAACCGGCCATTTTTGTTGGTCAATCGGCTATATTTTCCAGCCGACCCCTGTTCATCTGCTTTATGTAGATATTTAGTCAGGCACAATTCACCCCCTCCATACATGTGTATGGAGGGATTTGTCTCTTGCTTGGCTTGTTTTGGAAGCTTTGCAAGATTGGAATTCTATAAAGAGGGAGCTTCTCCTCTGTCCTTAAGGGTTCCAGAAGTTCAGAGAATTAGGGTTAGAGACTTTGTATCTATATATCTCTATAGTTCTCTCTCTTTGCATTTGTGTGTGTGTAATAGTGTCCTAAAGGTGTTTTTGTTCTTAGTTTTGCACTAAGACACCTAGTATTACACTATACCTTGGAGCTGAGGTCCCTTGAGGCTGATCTTGGAGTTCTTGGGTTGATTTAAACTTAGAAAAAGTGCTAGAGTGGTGTTCTTGAAGAAAGTCTACAAGGGTGAGAAACTTACCCTTTTATTCCCCATTTTTGCACAAGATTTTAACCTATCTTGCATCTTTTTTTAAGCTTAAGTTATAACTGATAAAAGTTCTGTTTTTAAGTGCTTAAAATAGTTATTTAAGATCACTTTAGTGTTTGGGGTTTCTTAGCCCCTCTTAGGCCTTGTTTGGCCTCATTTTTGTGCATTTTTGGTGAGCTCTGGGACTACCTTGTATTGGCCTTCTGGATTTCAGTGGTGGGGATGATGTTTTGAGGTCCTAAGAAGGTGAGGGCCATCCCCTCTCCTTGTTATCTTCAATACTTGTCATATTTGCCTCATGTGTGAGCACCTTGTTTAAGTTCATGTTGGCCATGTCTTAGCTGGTATTTGTGGTTGTTTTACCATGATATACCTCTGTTTTAAGTTGGTTTAGACATGCCATGTGTGCTTCATACACTTGTCTTGTAATCCCATGTTTTGGCCTTAACATGCATCATGTTGTAACATGTGTTTTTAGCATGATTTTGGCTCAACTTTGTGAAGCTTCTAGCCTTGTTTTAACATGCTTGAGCTCTGATTTTGGTTGTTTTGGTTGTCCATGACTTGCTTTACATAGCTACCATGCAATCTAGCTTGTAGGCTTTGAGTTTTGAACCCCCTAGCATGCATTACTTGGCTTATTTCAGTGATTTGGAGTCACTTACCATGTCATTTCAGTCCATATGGCATGCTTTTTTACTTACATTTGATGCTCCTTTAGTGCCTTAAAGAATTGTTGTTTTATGCTCCATGTTTGGACCATTGTGTATGCCATCATGCTTAGACTATTTAGATGCCATCTAAGTGAGTTTTTGGGCTCATTTTAACATGTCATATCTCTGATTTTTGTTGCTTGAATCATGCCATGTTTGGTTGTCTTAGGTGTAGTGTAACACCTCTTTGTTGGTTTTGCATGGCTCATGTTTTGGGAGTTGTGTCCTGGCATGTTTTGGCCTCTTTCCTCGCATGTTCTAGGCTCATTTGGACTTGCCTTAGGACTGTTTTAGGTCCTATTGGCCCTTTGGGGCTTGCTTCATGTAGCCTTGGTTTGAGTCCTTTGGCTAGTTTCAAGTTTTGGGTTTGGTTGCATGCTTTGCTTGATTTGTTTAGTTGGTTTGGCACCATTTCTAACATGATTTCAAAGCTTACAATCTATGCCATTTGTCCATGTTTGTCCCTTTTAAGTGTCCTTAAAAGTTGCCTTTTTATGCTTAAGTGTTGGACCATTATACATGTATGTTTGTATGTGACTTTGTCCCTTATCTCTTAGCATATTGGCCGCTGATTTGAGCTTATTTGAGAGCTGCCCAAGTTGGTTTAAGACCAATCCCGCATGTTGTTGCATGCTCGCCTTGTATGTTGTTGCATACTTGGCCCATTGACATCATGTTGCATGTTTAAGTGGTGTTGTATTTGGCATGCATCTTGTGTTAAATTGCTTTGCATATTTGCATGAGTTTGTCCCTTACATGTTGTTACATGCTTGCCTAACCATGAATATTGTCACATGCCTTGCATGTTTGCATATTAGTTTAGGTTGCATTACATTTGGCATGTTTATTATACATTGCTTGTCGGCATGCCCATGTTGCACTAGTGTGATTGCATGTTTAGGATTGCATAGCATTGAGCATGCATCCCTTGCCTCTTGATCAACCATGATTGAGGTTGGGGGTCCCTTGGTATGTTTTGTGTTTTGTGCATTTAATATTGAAGTTGCATACTTGACTCATTTGGCCATCACGCATTGAAATGCGTGATTGGTGGCCCGAGGGTCAGGAACCATGCTCCTCTAAGTCTCAAACATGCTGAGGAGGGTGGTGGTGCATAAATTGCTTTGAAAATGCATTGCCATGTCTTGTTTGTCCTCTATTGCAGCAAACCAGTCTTTTGCAGGAAGAAATGGCCGGCTGGCAATTTTCAGTGCCGGCCGACTATCAAAACCCAGCCGGTGGTATAATTTTTGGTCGATGACTAGTTCTCCATGGCCGGTTTTATTTCCCCTTGGTCGGTGACCTCCCACAGTACTCAGGGAGTAGTCCAGAAGTAACCTTGAGACTTGTGCAGTCCTCAGAGGTGCAGAGCAGTGTAAACAGAGGCAACATGTGACATGGCGGTGGATTTTCGAGCGGAGCCGAGCGTGCATGCATTCGCCCCTCTTCCCGAGGCTATTTTACTTCTTTTAGTAATTTAATTAATTTGTTTAATTAATTAAGGGTCTGTAATATTTAATTAGCTTATTAGTTAATTAATTTGTATTATTCATTCGGACCCTCCGAGAGAGGGCGATTTTGTAATAAGTGTGCGTGTGTGTGATGCGTGTCTTCCAACCACCATTTCTTTCTCCCTTTTACTTAACCGCTTATGATGGTTAGTTCTAGGGTACGTTTCAATTAGCATCCTTATGCTATGCATGTTTGCATCATTCATCTGTATTGCATGCACTGGGCTCAGCGCATCATACTAACTACATAGTATTTCAAATTCCAAGTTGAATACGTGTATCGAGTTGTTGCATTTCACATGCCATCCTTAGATTAGCTGAGCCTATTCTAGTTGCATTTTGCATGTGTTGCATTAGCCATCTTAACATGAACTATGATCATGCATGATTACTACCTAGTTTCTTGTTTTGGCTCGGAGTACACTGTGAGTATTTATGCTTTAGCATCTTGCATGTATATGAGTTTTACCATGATAGCATGCTTACCATGAGGCTATGTGCTTATGTGATATAACTGCCTGAATGCCTGTGGGTGAAGGTTGGATTGCTTGAATTGGGATAATTCATTGAAACCCGTGTTTTAGCCTACTTGCGAGTAGCAAACCTCAAACCATTTTCCAAACAAAACGGATATGCGATGCTTTGTTCCAAATTAGGCGATCTAGTCTATACTTGTGTGTTGTGCGCATCACATAGTAAATTCTAGCTAATTAACTGGAATAAGAACACATGTTTTCAAAACAAAATGTCATGCTTAGTACAGGCCGATCTTCAGATCGGGCGAGCGGGGGTGCTCATAGCTGACCTTCCCCAATCGTACCCAAGTTCCCGAGCCGAGGCAACTTTGGTGATGACGGACACGTGGCCTTAGGCATGAGTCAGGGTTTCCTAAATTCCCCACAAAATAAAATATTTAGGTGGTGACTCTGTATCTGGCAAAGCAGTCCATGTTTGGCACTTCTTTCTAAAATTCTATTTTTCAAACGATTTGCCGGATTTGGACTCTTTGGTGATTTATCAATCTCACATCGCACATTGTGAGATCAGATTAAGAACCGTGACATTGAGTCCTGAACTATAGTGAGCCCAAATGAACAAAACGGGATTCCCTCCCGGGACGTTCAGAGACGTCTACAGCAGCCATGGGCGATGATGCCAGTAGGGGTCTGAGACCAGTATGCTAGGGCTTGGGCCACTTCCCACTACCACATTCTGCTCGAGGGTCCAGTCTGCTGGACCTGGTTCTTAGGCGAGCGCTTTGTGCACCAGATTATCGGCGTGCCTAACCCGATCATCCCGATGGCTCCACCAGAGTCCATGCAATCTGCAGATGGCCTATCTGTTGAATAGGTCATTCAGTTTATGGTAGGCCTGGATACTGACTCCTTTTGAGTGTGGGGAGACTACGCAGCCTTCATTCAAACACATCTGATGCCACCTCTGACCGGTGCTCGTGGTGGTGAGGAAGCGAGAGCTTCTGCCGCGAGAGAGAGACCTAGAGTGACCCAGGAGAGTAGGGCTCGTGGTAGAGGGGCTTCTCAAGCGAGGCTGAGGATTGATTGGCCAAAGCTTCTGACCATGTTGACATGTTGGCGGCATACTGGGGAGACTTACCAGGTCCCGATTAAGCCTGCAACAGCTAGACACGAGCTTGTCGGGGTTTGAGGCTTGACTCCGGTATGAACCATACTTTAGGACTTACACTCCACATTTCACTTCAGATATGCTTACTGCGAACATTGATCACCTAAATGCATTTGCAAGCATTTATCGAGTACACATGAGGTGCCCTCGAGCTGATAGCGTCATTGATGGGGATGGTGCAGATGAGGAAGACACTGCTCGGCCTCCACGGTATCCCCGTAAGTTCTTCAATTTGCACTCCAGGTATCAAATTTTCACTGACACACTAACACTGACATTTCAACCGAAAACTTCCCAAACTGTACACTACATCTGACACATTGCACTCGCACACTGTATTCATACACTATACCTGATTTCTGTATACACTCATTCTGCATACTATGCTTGTATCTGATATATGTACTATAACTGATATGTGACAATTGTCTTTTCAGATCCCACCCATGTCGATGGCACCAGCGGTAGCTGCAGCACCTGCACTAGCAGTACCTCCTCCAGCAGCAAGGAGGAGAGAGAGACAGGCTCCAGCACGCTGCCGAGGTAGAGCTAGGGGCACCCGAGACGAAAGCGACCCTTCAGAGTCCATTCTGAGTGATGACGATGTTGAGACGAGCGACTCTGAGGAGGCAGCGAGTCAGCATTCAAAGTCATCTGAGAGTGGAAATGATGTCGGCTCAGGTTCCGAGAACAGAGGAGACGATGCTGAGGAGGGTTCCGGGGCAGAGAGCGAAGATGATGCCAGTTCTAGTTCTGGTTCAGAGTCTGCTTCGGACAACGGCGCCGATGGAGACAGTGCCCCAGAGTCCTCTCCTCCGGGGAAGAGGACGAAGAGGGCCTCTAGAGCATGAGGCGACCAGCGCTGATTTTTTGTATTTTTTGCTTAGATTTTATTTATTTATTTTTTATTTTTTTTATAGTATTAGCACTCTGTATAGCTTCAGGTAGGCTTATCTTTCGTTAAAACTTGTACTCCTCTTTTGTAAAAAAAACATGATCGGAATGAAAACTAGTTTTTATGAAAAAGTGTTGTATTTTGCATCATGAGCACCACATTGCATAAAAATGAGATTGAATTGGCCAAGATAACACTCTTGATTGAAACCCTAATCGGGTAATGAACCGACCAACAACCAAAATGTGAAATACAACATACAAACTCGATAAACAACACAACGACAACTTGATAAACAAAACGACAACAACTCGATAAACAAAACAACATACAACTCGATAAGCAAAACAATGCAACAGCAACTAAAATGCAAAATAACAAACTTGCTAAAGCCGAAAAAACTCAAAACAAGACCTTAAAACACACAAAAAGCAAAACAAAACACATGCTTTCAATATTATTCAGCATAAAAGAGAACATCAGGCCTGAGATGAAGGCTGCCAGCCATAAATAGGGGTTACCAGCCACATGCCGACCACGAAAGTTAGCCTGCCAGCCATCAATGCCTCTTGCCATCCATCAATGCAGCTTGCCGGCTACCTACCTGTGAAGCCCCTGAAGTATGTATTCACTTTTAAGACCCTAATGTTTGAATTATTTTTCTTAAAGCCCCTCGGTTACTTGAATTAATTCGAATCTTGTCGGTTAGCATTACTATTTTATTTTTATCAAAACAGGAATTTCCCTAGCCGGATTAGGTTACCTAACCTAATTTAATTCTACATAAGTTACATGTATTTAACTCCAAGCCCCCACCCTTTAATTAAATTCAAAACTTACCCCAAACTAGTACTTGTACCTTGTACCTTGAAGTACCATCAATCTTGTAATATATATATACATATATACACCTAGAGGAGTGTGCCTAGAACCTAAAATTATTTAAATAATAACCCCATCACACTTCCCCAAGGCCGGCCACCATAGGGAAAGGAGAGGAGCCAATTTTCAAGAACCACCATCATGATGTTCTCGGAAAAACAAGACCTAGTACCCTAGACCTAGGGTGATGTTTTCTTGTTTTGGGTATCTTTTAAGCTGTAAAAAAAGCTTATTTTATGGAGCTGAAATTGGTGTTTTTGGCATTTAAGGTTTAGGGGGTGATTCATCCCTCTTTATTCCTGTGTTTACAAAGCCCTTTGCAGCACTTGTTTCTCATTTTCAAATCATCATTTTTTGGGGCTTTTAAAAACTGATTTTAGAGTGTTTTTCATGTGTAAAATCAGGTTTTGAAGGTCGCAAAATTGGAGGGGTTAGCCTCCCTCCTTGTGTCTTGTTTGCTAGCCCTTAGTTGTTGGCCATTCTTAGCTAATTTTCTAGTTGTGGTAGCCGTTATTCACAGCATGCTTTAAGGCTCTATTTTTGGACTGCTTTTAAACTCTGTTTTGGGTTGATTATTGTATTTGATCTTGTTTTTGCATAGTTTGTTAGTGTAATAGTCCTCACAATGCTGTGGTGTCTTAGGCTTTTAAACACACTTGTTTGAGTTGATTGTACGTTTTTACTGCTTTTCATACTGTATCTCAGCAACTAATTCATCTCTGCAAGCCTCTCATCTTTCTTGGCTTTTTCCATTTTGCTTTTTGAAAGTGTTGTGCTCAAGTCACTTGTTTGTCTAAGTGTTGAAATTGGAGGTTTCATTACTTAAATCGTTTATCCCTTTGGGGGTTCATTAACCAAACGTATGAGACTTCTTTCAATACCCAAAAGCAACCTGTTGTTTTGAGCCTTCTTTCCATTAGAGGACTTTAACTCACCTTTTGGACTTAATTAGATTAAAGAATGGTTGGTTAAATTAAATGAGGTAACTTATGAACTTGAACTAAAATTGAAGCAAGATAATAACTTGTGTGTTGTGTTTCAATCGGAATACGTTAATTGACATAAGGAACTTGGACATTTCATACTGAAAGTGATGGAAATGTGTCAAGTTTCTAGGTTTCCTATTGCCCTGGATCATGCGAATGATAAGAATGATGGTTATCATGGTGTGTCTCATTGTTACATTTATTGAACGTGCACCTCTTGAGGTCATAAGCCATCATGCCAATGAAATTGCTTGAGTTGGTGTTCGTGGCTTAAGTTCATAAACTCCTTGGATTTGTACATGAAAATGAGGGATGAGTTGTGCAAACAATCTGCGGGAATACCTCTTTTTGCTTGTGTTTGTACTAGTTGTTGGAGCAAGATGAACCAATTTATCAGTAGTCGGGCAGATCCACTATCCATGGTTGGTAGGGTGTCCAGTCATGGCCCATTTGATGGCCGGTCTGGCCCACTTCCATGGTCAAAGAAGTGGCCGGCAAGCTTTTACTAAGTGGCCGGCTGGGCACTGATGCAACCTCGCCTAGCAATGTTGGTAAGGTTGGATGCAAAATTTTTTCTGAAAATGTTCAAATTCGAAATAGAAAGCTTTCGAGAGCAAAGCAAGAGGTTCTTTTCGTAGCAGAAACCGTGGCATGTGCATGCATAATCTTTCATTTCTCAAGGCGGAGCAATAATTAGTTTAGTCTAGTTAACTTAAATTTAATTATTAGTTTACAATTGTTTTGTAATTATATGCTTAGTTAGCGTAATTAGTTCTTTGTTGTTGTAATAATTTAGTTAGTTAGTTATTATTCATCGATTGCTTGTAATAATTAGCATAAATAGCTTAGATTTCTTAGCTAGTTTATTCAATTCGGACTCTCCTTCGTTGAGAGCGTAATGTAATAATGTGTATGTCTTCCAACCCCACGTCTTTCTCTTTACTACTTAACGCTTTTGATGGTAGTTAGAGAATGTTCGTTTAGCATATCGCATGTTTTGCATCCATTCATTTGTACGCATGCACCGAGGCTTGGCGTATCATTCAAATTGCATTGCCCATTTTCAAATACCCTCTTTGATACGTGTTTAACCACAAGTTTATTTAAAATTGAATTCACATGCCAGTAATTAGTAGCCGAGCCTATTAATTGCCTATTGCATGTGTTGCATTAGTCACATTGCATAAGTTAGGAATCAATGCAATTTTTTTAACTCATATCTTCTTAGCTTTGAGTACTAGGTGAGTTTTTAGGCTTTAGCATACTACATGAGTGCTAGTTGATTGCCATGTCTATGCCATGCTTGCCATGAGGCTAAATGCTCTTAATTGAATAAACTATTTGAATGTCTGTGGATAAGGGCTTTGTTGTTTTAAATTGAAACGATTCACTAAATGTAACGTTTTTTAAGCTCCACTCTGTTGAGTGACAAATTCACAAACTTTAAGCCCACTGAGGTGGCAATTCTAAACCCTTTTCGCAAACAAATCATGAAATTGAAAATGTTCCAATTCTGGCAAATTTAGTCTAAGCACTTGCTTATGCGCATCACATAGAAAGCTAGCTTAATAACTGGAACAAGAGCATATAATAATACATAAAATCGTATCAGATTAGTAAAGGCCAAATCTCGTGATTGGGCGAGCGGGGGATGTTCAGTTCATATTGACCTTTCCCCTCTCAGTTACTAAGTTCCCAAGCCGAGACAACTTTGGTGATGACGGACACGCTGGCCCTTTTGGGCACGAGTTCATGGGTTTTCTAAATTTTTCAAAATAAATATTTAGGTTGGCGACACTGTATTCTGGATAAAGCAGTCCCATTTTTGGGCAATTTGATTCAAATGATTTTCCAAAAGATTTGCACGGATTTTGGACTCTTTGGTGATATCAATTTCACATTAGACACTTGTGAGATTAGATGTTCAAAAATCGCGGGTATTCGAACTGTAGGGCTTTCTTTCAAACACGCTCCGAAAGGCGCGTTACGAAAAAGGCAAGCTAGTAGTGTTCTCTAGAGGACTCTATTGGGGATTTAAATATAACTTGAGCTGGAACTCATGGATATTGAAATGTTTATCTACACTTATGTGTTTTTTGCCATTTGCATTTGTCATTGGTGCGCTCTAAGTCAACTGTGTTTTCCATCTGCTATTCTTGAACGGTTTTAATCGGAGGCTTGTTTGGAAAAGCTTGCAAAAGGAATGATCGGTTTGCGGGCTCGCCATGAATGGGAACACAACCCTTTGATTAGACTAACCGCTAGTAGATAAAGAATATGACCGTTTAATCCCTCCTTTCACTTCTCGGGTGTTTAGGTGTGAGAGGTTATATTAGGTAGTCTTTACTGAGTCCCTTTTTGACCAAATCGACCTAGTCTTATCGAAAGCCATAGAGACTGTTCCAAACTAACTAGAACAGGTTGCTTACCCAGTATGCAGGATTTGCATGAAACCGCATTGTTTGAGTAGTGACCCTAGGCTCCTGACGAAAACTAGGACAGGGTAACCTTTAACCCCACATTCTGTGCCCACAACGCGAAATGCATGCCACAATGCAAAACCAATGTGAAAATGCATGTACAATGCAACGACAGTGACATGCATGTACATGAAACAACGTGAAATACATGGTACGAATAAACATGTTTGATAAACAACTTTCCGATTTAGCCTCTCTCAGAAGAGTTACAATATGTTCAAAGGTATAGCACCTCCGTTCATGTTGACAAGGTTGACGAACAATCGCGCACGAAAACACAGTTTTGTGCTCCATAGGATAATCTGAACCAAAACAGTGAACCATGCCTATACTGTCTTGGAATCAAGGACAACAAAAACATCATCAGGACCCACAGGCGAAAGCCGCCGGCCCACCTGCCAGCCAACGATGGTAAGTTTTGGGGGCCAAAAGGGATTTTTTGGCTCGGGTCTTTAAAAACATCGCGCACTTAGGGCTTATTTCCTCACAGCTCATATGCTAAAATTCCTTCATTTCTCGTCTCTAGAACACTTCTTCTCTTCTCCATAAGATCCGGGCTTTCTACGCATTTTCCCAACGGCCCCAAACGCAAAGTTGATTCACTAAAC